CAAACAAACAAACAAACAAGAGTGTTACATGACAGGAAAGTTTTTATAAGTATAACTCGATTAAATTTCAACGAAAATTGTATCGCAATTTATCAATTTTTAAAGTGATGAGAACAAAACGTGAATAGTAAGCAAAATATATTTCGAAAAGTTCATAAAAACTGCTTAGTCATCATTTCAATGTTAGTCAGATATCTCCTTGTGATAGTAATTTCAGCTTTTTTCTTTGGTTTATTATCTTTGTCTTCTTGTAACTACATAGACCCCTCATTATGTTTGTATACACGAAGGTTATCTGCGCTAGCTCCCCATAAGGGAAGGCAGTCGATGAACACCACCTATCGCTAATTCTTGGCATTTTACAATCACTTTTTTAACGCACCAACTGTCCCAAAGTGCGGGTTGCGCTTTTTTCTTTTCTGGCGGTAACTGGACATCATTATGAAATGTGTGGATTGTTTGTTTCAGATATCTGTGAATAATGTAACAAGGGTTATAACCCAGTAACAGTGCAAACAAAATAACAATTCCTGAGAGTGAGGAAGAGGTCAACGCTTAACCTGACCCTCCCTGGTCCAGAACATGGACCGAATCTGGATGCAGAAATTTGTGTGTGGGTGTTTTGTGGATATTTGCGCAAAGCTACTATACAACACTCAACGCCATCACTTGGGATACACCTCCCACCCTCCATAAAAACGCAAGATAATCCAGTATCTAAACAGTAGAGCTATGAGAAACTGGGACAAAGGTTCTATCAAAAATGAACGTATACACTCATGTGTATAGATATAGATAGATAAATGAAACATGAACATTACAAAGTCACTAACACTAAAGATAATAACATACTTACTATCATCATTTATCTTCCTTACACATACAAACTTCAACACAGATATCCATGGGAAATTCTACAGGAAAATCATATACATTCTAGTACAAATAACGAGCAATACGACAAGTGACAAGCACGAAGACATCATCAATGAAATCTCATGTTCTTACATTGAAACCTACACTGGAACAGAACGACTTTTTTGGTGCAAGGAAACTCAGAACTTTGCCGTCGCAGAAATATGATTTTGCACCAGGAAATACAGTCAACTGGGACAGTTAAGAGTTCATTGATAAAGACACATTTTGAAAAACCAGGAAGATTAAGAAGCTTTCTGTATGAATGATCATATTAAAACCTTCACTGAACAAAGTTTGGAGATTAACTGTATATGGTTACCACTGATTAACACACAGGAACATACAAGTGTCACTAAAACTATCTCGCCAACCATTGCGGTATCACCTACCAATTACACAGGCCTGCGAATTTAAACTTCATAAAAGTTGTTTTGTTTTAATAACGGATTTTCCATAATTCAGCTACGTGATTTCGAAAATAATATTTATATTTTCTATCACGTAACGATTTTTTACAAATCTGGAGAAAAAAAAACTCTTACCTAGATCAAATTATTATTTCGTTTAGCACAACGAACATTTTTTTATTATTATGCTTGTTAACAAAAATAGAAACAAACTGAACAAAAGGGAAGAACATTGATGTCAAACGAATATGAATCCTCTTTCATCCTGATTTATTTTGTGAAACCTACGACTTTTAGTCTGAAAACTACTTGTTGTGGCCTTTCTTTTATGTACTGCGTTATAAAGTTTTGTGAAAAATCTGTACGTGATGGAGAAATACGGATATCATTTTCGGGTTCAGTGTACAGGAATTTCTGTAGAACATGTAAAAATTTCAAGACAATAAAACCATCGCAGGTCTGTGTTATATGACACATCCAGTGCCCGAGTTCCCACCCTGAAAAAAAGGCAGTGCCTGAACACACTATATCATTTAACAACAGTTTAAAATCAAGCAAAAATACCTCTACCAGAGTTTTTCAGTTAATGACAACTAAAAAGAAAACGGTCAAAACTAAAAGTAACACAATAACTTAACGTAATGGAAACTAAAACCAGAAAAAAATGTTTAGAAACTAGTGAAATTGCAAACTATGGGTTCTATCTAAAAACATTTTTCAATATTTTAACTCCTGCTACTATCACAAAATGAACTAGTTGATCATACAGTGCTGTAAGTGTGTGCAACGAAGGCGTAAGTAATAATAACCCAATGCACTTTGGAATAACACCAAAAAAGAGAAATATGTAGAGTACGAAACTACCGTTTGGGTCACCAACGGTGTGTATTACTTCATTTAAACTAATAGGATTGTTTATATATTTATTTGCTCCTTTAACAACCAGTGTTTGTCGAGGCTTAAAAGGAAATGTTAATCGAATCACATCTATGGAAAACTTTGCACATATAAAATAAATCGATAAAAATACCTAATGTTTGATTCCCTTTGATCCTTAGGCAGCATGTGTTTATTGTTGCAATATCCCAGAACGAGGCGATATTCTTTGATACATTGTCATACGTGCGTTGTCAAATTCTAGAGTACTTTGTCATAAAAGTATTTCTATTTTATTGTCAAAAAAGGTTCCAAAAAATACTGGAACCGTTTCGCTACGACTCGAGCGCTAGAACATCCTCACCGCCTAATATACAAAACAAGTGGATAAAATATTTTAAATAAAATTGAAAGTGTATGAGTAAGTGCGCCAAAAAGGGAGGAAACAAGACAGGAATGGGCATGGTGTAATAAAACTTCCTCCATAGGACATCAGAAGAGGATGTGTCCAACATCCGGTCTATACCAACTTTTTTTTTCCTATCCTGTACACAATAAGCCAGGTAGACTAAACTTATCAAACATAGTTATGCTTATCATATAATGACTAAAAGGTTTCTGTGAATCGAATTATTGGAGGCAATACATGTACTATAAAGTCTGTTTATACCACACCAGAATAATCAGATATTCGTGTGGACCCATAACTTGTATATATATATATTTCTTTATAACTTGTCTCTCCTTTCGCAATAGTATGAAAAGATAACAGGGTTTCGTATATTAGCTCTATAGGTGGATTGATACATAAAGTTAAAAAATCCTAAGAGGTTTCTGTGTATCGACGTCATGGATTCGTTACTGTCTATACAAGAGCAGAAGAATCATAGATACACTTTTATGTGTATCTATAAGTTGTATAACATCATGAACGCAGAAAAACGAAGTAGGCATGAACCAGATGTTGGACACGCCCCCTTGTGATGTTGTTTAGAGGAAATTTTATCACAGCGTGCCCATTCCTACTTTGTTTTCTCACTTTTTGGTACACCCATTCTTACGCTTTCAATTCTTTTTACAGATATTTTTCCATTTTCATGCACTTTTTTCATACAAGATGACATGCTCTTATGTGCCATTCATTCATTTGTGTTGATATCCTATATATGTATCATCATTGTGAGTGAGCACCATAATATTATGGTATGTGAAAAAAGGTGTATGTGTGTTTGTGTGGTGTGCATTCTCTTCACTTACGGTATGTGTACACATTATGAGTGTGCATGTGTGCTGTACATGTGATAGCACGCACTTTGTAGTGTGCAATGTCATTTGGGTGATGTAGTGTGAGTTGTGGTTGTGTGCATATACCAAGGGTTGATAAATTAGCTAATTACTTTAATTAACTACTTTACGTTAGCACTAGCACATTGTCCCTGTGTTATTGTTCTGTTTGGTGCACTTATAACTATGGTAAGTCTATTTGTTTGGCAGCTGGAAGCGTTCAACAATGTCATTCAGTCAGTGAGATTGAGAAATTTATGGTTTTGTGAATTTTTTGTATCTGCTCTGCTGACTTTCCTAAGTGGTTGTATGACTAATAATTTTGTAAGTGGTTTGTTTACCACC